TATTAAGATATATATTAATTGAATATATTACGTAGTATTTGTTAATTAGAATTTTCAGCTATGTATAATTAATAATAGAATCACGTACGTAACTGGTTTAATAGAATTTTGACAAGAACTAATCAGCATAGATTAAATGATACGTATAATAAATAATTTACAAAAATTTAAGGTTTAAATGACGAATAAGATAATATACAAGTGCAAAAAAAAAAAAACATGAAGGAAATTTGGAATTTTAATGTACGTATATTGTTACACATGAGTGTCGCAAAGGGAAAACCTAGAATTGAGAGTTTTCCGAAATCAAGTTTACAGAAACGGGTTTATTAACACATGATTCATTAAATAGAATTTATTATATATAGAATTTATTATAATCCATCAGAAATCTGATCATTGTTTCTGAAAATGAAATGTCTGAGAATCAAGAATTCCAGGTTTTCGCTTTGCAACACTCATATAATAAATCCATCCAAATCACCATAAAGTTATAGCTAGACCTATTAACAAGAACGATATATATCTTAAGAAGGATGTAGAAAGTTCAATGTTCGGCCTGCCAGCACTATCGAATGGATTGAAACCAGGGATAGGATCAAATGGACCAGGTTTATATTGAATAGTATATCTGAAAAATATTAATAAAAATAAGATTCAGTTCATGTTGCTATCAATAAATTGCAAACCAAAACTTTCAAGTTTACCCTATTGATTGTAAAAACAATCTTAAGTTTGGACCTATAGGACCATTAGGATAATTTCCACCCAAAGCTACAGATTGACGTAATGATATACCACGTTCTTGTAAATATCTCATTAAAAAGTCACTAGTTCTAGTATAAGTTTTATAATCTAAATGACTAACACTTGATCCAGATCTATAAGGATTTAATGTTGTCTCAAGAATTATAGCATTTTTAACATTAGTGGAATTAACGGGTAAAAGTCCTAAAGAATTAGGTGTGATGGCATCAGTCATCAGTTGAAGAGCCAATTGGTATTGGGAAGAAGCTTTGAATTTGGTTATAAAATCTTGACCATTAGTAAATGTTCCTTTAAAGGTATTTAGTTGTTGAGTAATATTTGATACACGTTGACCAGATGGGAGGATAACCATACATTTATCAAATACCATTTCCAAAAAACTATTGAATGTAATACCATTGGAACTCTGAGTGTACATGATTTGTGGAGTCAATGCTTGCGGTGTGGTATTAATATAATCATCATAACCAGAAGTAAACCCCAATCCGTGAATCAGCTCATGTAAAATAACAAATAAGAAGTCAGACTGACTATCTTTTATTTTACCATCACCTTCAA